TTGGATTTCTACGGGCGATTGGAATATCGACGAGGTCTATCCTACGATGATGGCATTTGTGACGATGGGAGCATTAATTTATGGAGTGGTTCTGGGACTGCGTCTGCGGGACTTTGTGATGGCGAGAAATCGTGGCAAACGATAGGCGGGCGTGACTAAACCGGTTTGCTTGGATGGCCCGTCAGTTTCTGAATGAGATCTTGCACGTCCCAGTGGTCTCGGGCCTCGATAATTTGTTCGTTGACGAAGCGGGCGTAGGAGCTTCCTCGGAGTTCGATTTCTTTGCCGGTTGCGGGGATGCCGAGAAATTCGCCAGAATGTGTTGTGACGACGTGCCAGTAGGCGACCACGTGATCCGGACCGGTCACGATGCTCTCGACGGTGATCTTCAATGGCTGAAAGGCGCCCAGCAACGCCGCGATACGTTGGCGAATAACTTCTTGGCCGTGCCGTGTTTCTCCTTCGGCGAAGAGTTCCACGTCGGGGTGCATCAGCTCGTCGATCGCGGAGAAATCACGCTGATTAAAGACACGCTCGAACCATTCACGAATCAGCTGATCTGGCGTGCGATGCTGGATGATCAGTTCTTCCAAATGCACCGCACGAATCTCCGCGGACAACTCGGAGTAGGCGTCGAGCACGTCCCGCAACGTTTGAAGATTAACGGGGCCGCCCCGCTCGAGCTTGCGAATAAGGCGATCGGTGTAGCCGGATCGATTGGCGGCTTCCTCTTGCGTAAGCTTGACAGCTTGGCGAAATGCGCGAAGACGGTCGCCATGAACTAGAAGGCTGCGCGGCGTATCTTCTCCATTCATCAGGTTCGCCTGCTTCGATGAAACGTTGTGTCCCTGCGTTTAGTGTAGGGGGAATCGCATTCAATGCGAAGAGTGTGTCACGCTGGCGCTGGGGTATTCTTCCAAAAGCTCGGCATAGATAGGAGTCGATTGCATCCATTGCTTCAGCTTCTTTTGATTGCGTGTGCCCATGAATTGTTCTTGAGCCGTGGCTGCGATTAACAAGGGAAACGTGACGCCGACGTCTCGACCAAATTCTTCGACCGATGATTTGCGGCCGAAGATGTATCGACCGACTAGGTAGATGGCGGCCCAGAACCAGCCGAGCAGGATCAGGGCGATGAAGTAACGATCGGCGCCGCCTGTCGGGCCGCTATGCTTGGTGTATGTCCGTTCGCACTCGGCGTGCAGGTAAACTTTGGTATCGGCCGGCAATCCGGAGACTGGGCATGTCGTATTCGAGGGAAGCTCTTCACACGATACCATCCCTTGGATCTTCTCGACGACGTTTTGAGGTATGGCGGTCTCGCCAGCTTGACGCCGCAGAGTCGACATCGTCGGAACATCGATGGCCTGACCGCAGGGACACGCAACGGTTGTGCCAGCCTGTAGCGCGGTGACTTGCAGCGATTGACCGCAATTGCAAGAAATGGTGTAGGTCATAGGAATGAGGAAGAGCGAGGGGGAAAAGAAAAAAGGGCCATCACAGGCGACGTATCGCGAGTGATGGCCCTTAGTCTAGCTGCCATGAATTGGTGGAGAAAGACTATTTGGTTTCAGTCTTCTTGGCGTCGGCAACTTCGAAGCCAGCTTTCTCCCAAGCTTTTTCGCCGAAGAGTGCGGTGATTTGTTCTTCACCTTCCAGGCCTTCTGCTTTGCCTTTGCAGTTGTTACAGCAGAACTTGACGGTGGCACCTTCCACGGTCAGTTCCGTCTTCATTGGACCGCCGGTGAAAGGGCAGTGCTCTTGCTTGGCCTGCTTGGTGGCGACTAGCTGATGGTTCCCTTTAGCCATGACGAGTTTGTCTTTGGCTTCAACCTTTTTGGCAAATCCCTTGGGGCAGTTGTTGCAGCAGAAGAAGACTTCGCCCCCTTTGTATTCCAGCGACTTGTCCGCTTTAGCGGCCGCTTTGGGGTTCATGATGCATTTGACATCGTCCAGATTGATGTCAGCAGCCATCAACGAAACCGTGGTGATGGCCAATAAGGCGAGGCCGGAGAGCAGGAAACGGGCTTTCATCGGGAAGAACCTTTCAGTGGAGGGTTCGTGGCGTGAAAAGGCGATAGGGTTTACCCACATTATCCAAAAAACGGAAACCGCAAGTCAAGACAAATCGTCAACACTTAAAAGCAAAATTGTTGCTGGCAACGAGAATAGGACGCCTAATAGAAAGAGCCAATCAGGAATCTCGAGAGGGTGCGTAAAGATGGGGAGCGAGCGATGTTAGCGAATCGACGGCGAGCACTACTACTGACGATGGCCATGCTATGGGTCGGCTCGACGATGGTGGTAGCTCAAGAGCGGCCGGACAAGCCGAAAGAGAACAGCAACGGCTTGATTAAAGAATATCGCGAGAAGCTGAAGTTCTCCTGCAGCACCTACTGGGTCGGCTGGGGACCGGAA